TATATTGATGTCAATTCCCCAATAAGGACTACAATAGTGTGTTTGGGTACGAGACCCTCTACTTGCTTGTATGTTTGATCTCAATAAGTTTGGTCGCTCGTTTGTGCTTTGAGCTTTCACAAATAAGAAGCACGCATTGTCAATTATCTTCAAGGCCACTCAAATTAACAAGGCATCTTTCAAGGTGTTGCCCCTCCTGTCACTTCCCCTGCCTGCGAACCCATCTTTCCTTCTCTTCTCTTATCTTTCTTCATCCCCATCCCACTTCTCTTTCTTCTTCCCCACCCCAACTGATAAAATCGCTCCGATTGCAATTCAATTCACACAAAGTCACAAAGGCAAAATGCTGGCGGTGTAGGAAATTAGGTCCTCAAGACCCCAACCCAGCAACAACCTTAAAATCCCTAATCGACAAATTCGAGTTCGACTTCTTCCCGTCTTCCCCTTCGTCTCGCAACCCGCAACCCTCGTCTCCAAATCTGCCTCGCCAATCTCCTTGCCAACTCCACCTCGCCTATCGCCTCTGGCCATCATCGCGGTCCTGGTCGTGGTTATTGGCTCGTCGGTCGTCGGCCACTCTGCGAGGGAACAAAGCTCCTCTCAGTGTCCACCTCGTCACGCAGAGAAGATGAAGAGTGCTTTTCGTTTGAGCTTGTCGCTCATCGGAGCTTCCCTGCTAGCCAGCCGCTACTGTCATCTGATTTGGGAGAAGGATAAACAAATTGAAGGTGACTTCGACTTACGACGAACGTACAAAGACAACAACAACAAATGCGGGTGATTTGAGTGAAGGATGAACAAATAGATGGTGACAATAGTGGCGATGGTGAATTTGCGTTGAATTGAAGGGTGAACGGCTTCGACTGAAAGCAAGAACGGGTAATTCACTAACTTAGGGATTCATATAGGGGATTATTTCTGGTGATATAGCTTTATTTTGTTAGCATTCAATTCTAGGTTTAATTCGCAGCTGAGATAGCTTTAGTTTGATCGTCCAATTCCAAATTGCTTGATTATATTAATTGTTTGTCAATTCCATGATTCCTTGTATTCGTTTGTAGTTGCTGGGTGTTCGAGAATCTCTGTGAAGAGACAATTTGTTAAGTTTAGGGGAAGCCTTTTGTTATACGTGAAGAGGAATAGGCATTAAAGTGCTTCTGATGGGAAGAAGAGGAAGACGGTCAGAAAGAAGGGGGAAAACGTTGATTTTTTGTAGTTGAATCCAGATTTTGTGGTTGTTAATTGAAGGTTCTATCAGGTGAATGGAAAGTATTCGAGGAAGGTGTTGGGGGAGATGAGGTTCTGGTGGCACGCCAGGTGTACTAGGTGAGTTTTTCATGCTATTTGACGAACAAGAATGAACTCAAAGCTTTGATTCACTGTTGTTTTACAGTTCATTATGCATTGTGGGGAAAATGTCTACTTGTTTCCCACGTGTGGTCTGCTTATTGCTTTGTCTTTGATGCCTTCTTGCTCCATGATATTTAGCATAATTGTATAGATTTGAGAGTTAATAAAATTGGGATTTTGATCCCCACGTATTATGGTAAGTTAGAAGTTTTGAGAAGGTAGTAAGCTTATTTATTTATTTATTTTTAATGGTAAAACCTAACAGATCACAACAGAAGTTTTTCAAAGAGTCCTCTTGTTTCTTCATCTCCTCTCTAGACACGTTTTTCTATATAAGCAACTCATCCTAGTGAATTAATCTTCGTATTTTAGTTGAGTAGCATACTAGGAATTGGTGTCATGGAAGGGTTAGTTTCTGTTTTTCCCGATGCCTTTCTTCTTCAGTCTTATCGACCCTACTAACACTACTTTTTTTGTTTATGTTATGTTCAGGTTAGACCGGACAGCGGCAGAATCCATTGAGGTAAAGTTTCTCTTACAATGTCCACAATTCTTTTGTGAAGTATTTCAGGAACCTAACACTCTTGGTCTTTCTTATGCAGATCGGAAACCTACATTCCCTTGTGGCTGACTTGGGAGAATGTCAGCTATCTATGAAAAGGGAATTGAAGGATGATATGAACGACATTAAGACAACACTACATTCGTTATGGGACCTGCTGATTGGGAGGTCAGATCAGAACTGTGAAAATGGCAGGGGGAAGAAGAATGACGATGTGGTTGAAATTTTGAACATAAGTTCTGATAGCTCCTCATTGGCAACAAGGAGTAAAAATAATGTGACAAACACAGCATCAAGGAGAAAGGTTGTGTAGTCTCCTCCCTCTTCTGTTTCTGTATTATTTGCTTTTCTTTTTGGTATACGGATTTTAATATAATTTTTAAACGATAGGGGAAAGGTTTTATGAGGTCTCCAATTAAGTTGCGGTGTCCTTTTAGAACCCGTCAATATACGGAGAGGAGAGACGGCAAAACGGAGGTGGTTGGCCTTTTCATCACTACGAAGGCCCTATCAGAAATAGATCGGAAGTTGGTCAACCACGTTTTTTATCCGACAAATAATGCAAGGTATTTAAATAACTTTGTTTCATTGTAATTACTTTAGTAGAATCCATTTTTTTCAAAAATTAAGGGCACCCGTGAAAGATTGAATTGTCTATTTTTTGGTTGTAGTGAGGTGTTTGTCAAATCTCCATGGTTTCATTTGAACCGTGAAGAGGTTAATGTCTTACAGCCAGAAATACCATTGTCAACCAAGGTTCGTATACAACTCATCTTGTCTTTATAAATGGGTATAGTTAACGAGCAAGCCTTTTTACATAATATACTTTATGGTTTATATATTTGTGCAGGTCATCACTATGTGCGTTGACCTGTTAACGATGCTGGAGATGCATAATGAGAAATGTGTGAATTGGTTCTTACCTCCTGCATTTGCTGTAAGTTCATTAGTTTTATACTGTCCTATTCGGCATATTTTGGTAGCATTGATCATGGAGGTGGAAAAACAGGTTATAGTCTGTACTGAATAGGATAACTTTTGATTCGTTAAAACTTTCGCCCTTTTGAATGATTTGGTAATGATGCCAAACTATACTCAATTGTCGTTACTTGTGGATCTTGTTAACTAATGTGAAAGGTTTTATGCTTGTTGCTGTCCAATAAGTCTCATACTTAACTAGTTATTGTTACAACTAGTTATTTGCAATCTTATGAAGGTATAAAAAGAGTGAACCAGTTGTTTAACAACTTATGATTTGATATATTTATACTTTCAGGTGTACAGTGCTACTGGGGATCGTGTCTTTGCTGCGTCTAGGAAAACAATGAAAACCATATACTGTTCTGAGGAATTCAATGATTGTGAGAAGGTAACTTGTGGTAAATGATGGGAACTTCTTAAAATAGCATACCTGATAGCATTTCTGTTGAGTCTTACGTAATATGTGTACATGTCAGATTTTCGTCCCTGTTCTGCTGGACAACCACATCTTTCTATGTGTTTTTGACCTAAAGAAAGAGGTGATAGATATCTGGGATTCACTTCCAAACTATCTGGATTCAGTTAGGAGGAACGAAAAAGTGTTACAGATCGTAAGTCATGTTCGGTATATGATCAAACATACTTAGTTATTCAATTTCGTACATACGCCGACAAATCTTGTGCTTCATGTAGGCAAAAGAACTGGGCTCAATCTTTTTGGAGTCAGTTTTTAATCGTTTTGAATACAGTATGCTGTCCACTTTCACCATAGAAGAGGTTGTTAATTCCCCAAGACAGAAGAATGGGTAAGGTTATTGATTTTGTAACAGATGACTTGTTTTGATTGCAATGAGCTCTTTGATTTCATTTTTGTTTTGAATGTTTTGGGGCAGGTTTGATTGTGGGGTCTTTGTCTTGAAGTTGCTGCGATCTGGTGGCTATATGGATCAATCCGCACGGGCAATGAGAAAGAAGGTGGTTGCTAGCCCTTATTTTGTTATTATTGTAGTTAAAGGGTTTTAGTTATTTTCTTATGCATTTCATTTACATTTTCAGTTTGACTCACACGAGGAGAGGCTTGATTTAGCATTGTATCTACTGAACCATGAGAAGAATTCAGTTCGGGATGCTATCCATCACAAAGTACTCATGGAAAGTGTGGACCGAGACGCACCTGTTGACGGCGGTTTGGAAAGGAGTCAGACTCCAGAGTAACTAGGAAAATATTTTTATGTCTTTGTTTTCCTCCCCCAAAGAATCAGACCTGTACTAGTTGTTGGAGGGTGCTTCTTTTGGTGTTTGCCTTTTTTTTAAAATGATCATAACTCTCTTTTATCTCGAGGAAAGTTATTGCTTTGGACTTCCCAAGTTTGAATTTTGTTGGATCCCTTTGCAGTGTTTTTCAATTTGTCAAGATTTAAGGGATGCTTGGTGGTGCAGTTGGGATGTGTTGGTTGTAGAATCCTGGTGTTATACGTGTTTGTTCTTATTGTTTGCAGTTTTGATGGCAAATTCTGTGGCAATGAGCAGCGTAAGGTGAAACTGGCTGACCCAAGACTGGGAAGACCACTTGCTGCTTGCTGATTTTTTCTAAACTGTCTTCTCAACTGCTAGAGTTCATTTACTGGTTCACTTGAAAAGAAATGGAAGGAAGAGAAGGGGATATGCAAAAATTGATCTGGTGGTTTAAAGAATTCTGGTTTGCCACTACTTGGTGTCCGCATTTCTGTCTCGTGTTTGTTTGAGAGTGCTGCAGATGCTCTAAATGACAAATTTGAATAAATAAATAAAAAGAGTGTAAGGTGGATTGAACCCACTACCTTATGCATGTAAATATATTCCAAATTGTCAATTAAGTCAGAGTCTTAAACCACTAGGCTGGTCGCCTGCCATTCGTAATGAAAGCAATCTCTTCTATTTTTATACAAACATTTGAGTAATGACTAAGGAGCCCATTCGTTTAACAGTGAGTAAGCTACCTTGAAACTTCTCAAGCCTCGTTGGTTGTCCAGAATAATGACAGTTTCATGATAAATTGAGTCCACTTCAAGAACCTACTGGAAACACCTCGCGGGAAGAGTAGGACAAATAGACACTGAGATTTTCAAGAGCAAAGTTTCCAATAAATCAAGCTAGTCAATAAAAACAGAACAACTATCATTCTCCTCCCATTGATCTGAGTTTTGTTTCCACAATTAAGCATGGGTGTGAAGGTTCCACATCATGCTAATCTGATGAGGCAAATTGGTAGTTCTATACATTGATTGACTAGTGTAAAACGCCTACTCAATCAAAATATAACATTCGTCAACACTAGCTGGTCTAAGTCTGCTTTGATGAAAACTGAGTGGAATCCTCCATCTGGTAATGACTGAACTTCAAAGCCTATGCTACCATATGTTGCTTGCAGTTCTTTGGTCCGTAATGGTCACTGGTACGCTTCAAAACCTTGCGGCACAAGTAACAGTAGTGTATTTGGCATCCGAACCACCAAATACATGTGCTTGTCATTTTCCGGCTGCACAATATCATTACAATGCATGTTATAAGTAAAAAGTAGACATCAACAACGAACCAAAATTCAGAAACCAGCAAAGGAATAACATGACAGGAAAGACGAAACTTATGTGCATTCTAAGATAACTTATTAATAACCAAACTATTTAAAAACACACGAGAGATGACAAGCTAAAAATCATACCAGGATATAATCTCTTGTGCAATATTCTATTCCATCATTCCAGAATCTGCTACTTGGAGCTTGTTTTTGATAACCTCAAACTCTTTGGTCCCTTAAACAGGACGTGAATGAAGTAGGCAGAAAACAATGAGTACAAGAAGCAGCCTAAGAATAGAGCCAAAACAAAATGCGCAGTTGCTGCAATATGGAAAACCAGCAGTACCCATCCACGAAACAAGCACACAAACAAAACCACTAGCCACACCATATCAACCTCTCATAAAGAATTAAAACAAATCGAGGTCCCCCATATTCAAACCCACAACGTTCCCACAACTAAACAGTATCAGGATTATTAATAAAAGTCCAACGCAATAGCCTAGTCATGTTTATTCTTCTAAAGAGTCTATAATTATTGAACAAGGAAAACCAGCTACAGCTTATAAGTAGTAAAATTCCCATCTTTTTTGGGTGTTTCGCTCCTCTCAGCAGTACCCTCAACTTCATCAATTCTTTCACCACTTTCCATTACAACTTTCCGGTGAAGCACATCTTTAATCTCATTCTCCTTGTTATTCAACAAATACAATGCTAGATCAAGCCTCTCATCTTGACTCTCAAACTGAAAGTAGAAACGAAAACAAAAGGTATACGAAAAATATCAAAACTCAAGAGATGAGAAAGTTGGGAAGAAACTGGCCTTCTTCTTCATTTTACGTGCACAATCATCTAAGCACCCACTATTTCTCATCAACTTCGCCACGAAAAGACCACAGTCAACCCTGCAGGACCAATAGTCAAACTTAAAATGACAGTTATTAGTCTACTATATAAATAACATAAAAAATGAGCACAAAATTCGTACGCTTACCCATTCTTCTGTCGTGGAGCGTTAACCACTATTTCAGTAGTGAAAGATTCCAGCAAGTTGACCTCCAACTTTTTAATAATCTTGACCATAACCAGAGAGTCTAGTGCTTTCGCCTACGTGACAAAGAGTACCCAGTTTACCAAACAGAAACAGGTACACAAACGATATAAAGTTTTAGGAGATAACTGACTTACTACTTGTGATAGTTTTTCTTCCCTCCTGCCCGGATCGAGAAAGTTCGGATATGAATCGCATATTTGTTTGACCTCCTTCTTAAGGTCAAATAGCTGAGAAAAAAGTGATTGTCCAGCAGAATGGGAACAAAAATCTACAAAATATATGTAATAATTACAACTCGGAGCAAAAATAAACCAATTACAACATCCAACTAAGACCACATAACAAGATTGATACCTTCTCATAGTCGTTGAAATCTTCTGAACAGTACACGCGTCTAATCTTCTCCTCAGAATATCCATGCACAGACATCTAAAAGACATTCTCACAGATGTAATAATTGCTTACAAGATTATCATGCAAATACACCACAGAAGGCATCAAAAATATTTATACTTACAGAAAAGGCTGGTGGTAAGAACCATCGCACACGTTTTTCCTTACAAAACTCTTCTAGAGTTAAGAAGTCCACACACATGGTAATAACCTGTCCAAGTATCCCAAATATAATCACAATCACATAAAACACACAAGCTGTTTGCATATTATTCTATCTAGTTTTGTAAATCCAAAAGAAGTTTTACACTAACCTGAGAAGACAACATTAAATCTGGTGATAATCCCTTAAATTGTGCCCGATTCAGATTAAACCATTGAGATCTTACAAGTTCCTCACTGGAAATTAAAAACAATCAATAACCAATTTGAAATTACAAAGAATTTGAATAATAGGCACTTCCATTAACAAATACTAACATAAGTAATTGGAAAAGATAGATTTAATACCACTCATCTTTTGACTGGTCAAACACATGGGTTATCAAAATCAGATCCATAGGGCATGCACGGGAGGAAGTTGTAAAGGGCCCAATGGAATACATTTTTTTATTTCTCATTTCATTGTATCTCCTTGTGAAAATGGGACTTCTCACTTTGACAGGCGGCTTCACGCCAACCTTTCCCTATTGAAAACAAAAACAATTAAATAACTAATAGAAACATAATCAAGTCAAAATATGACAGTACAACAAACCTTTTTCCTTGCACTTGCAGCTTTGTCTGACATCTTGGGTGCAGTGGTTCTTGACAAGGAGCATGAGATATCTGTGCTGATGTTAATAACCTCCACTCCCTTGTCTTTGTTGTGCTTCAAAGCACTTTCGCAGGGATCACCAGGTCTGATGGTAGCAGACTTCTCCATCAACCAGACAGTTAAAGAATCTAGCGATCTCCTCATCATTCTTCAACGCTAACTGATTCACTTTCAACTCTTCCATAAGAGCATATAGTTTTGACATCTACATATGAAACATCAAAGAGTTGCTTAACAATCTTTTTGGATAGAATTTTTTTATTTTTTGGTCAGTGGGTGAGTGCAATTTTTTAGACATGAAAAATAGAGTACATGGAAAGAAAGATAGAAAACACAAAGAGAAAACAAATGATGACAGCTTAAAACAAAAGAAGATAAGCCAAAAATTTATGCAAAATTGTGATATGTGAATACAATCATTGTTATTTGGGTTGCAGCCTTTGGAAATTGTACAGAGAGTTGCAGCTCATAAGCAGAAGGGAAGTTATAAGGCTATAGACAAAGTTATATGATTCCTCATCTACAGTTATGCCTTTGCATCTAAGTTATAAGCTGGATTTTGATTGTAATAGTATCTTATTGTATTTTTCAGTCCTAAATTTTTTAATTACTAAAATTGATTTTAGTTGTACCAAACAACACATTAAATACACTTCTATATATCTAAGCTCAGGAATTGCAGGCAGTAGCAGCAGAAGGATCATAAAGACAACAGGGCAGGATCATAGATGGTCGAGCAATGGAATTCAAAACGAGTGAAAATTGAGTAAGGAAATAAATAGCACAACTACCCATTTGAGGTAATAAGATTACATTTGTTTAGTTTTGATGTTGCCGCATAACCAACTTGAAGGAGACCTTGATCTGCAGTAGCAGATTTAGACTAGCTGATAGGTTTGATAAAGTAGGCTATCTGGGATTTCAGTTCTGAGTCCCAGATTATTGTTTTATCCAACAAATTTTGACTAACAAATGCATATGCTATCATCCTTTTTGAACAAAGCTGGGGCCAAATAACTTCAAAATCACGAAAATATGGTGAAATGTCAGTTGAAAAAGGAATGCCAAGTTAGGGAAGATGATTCTTTTATGGAAGACAGTTCAACGAAGGTATACTCTGAGGGACTCCTAAGTTATACAGGGAGTGGTATTCAAGTTCAACAGACGCCACTTCTACCATCTAACCAATTATTTGACAAAGACACTACAATTGTCACTACAAACAACCAAAAATACAAAAAGGTATTTTGAAAATAGTAAGTGATTACCTGGTTAATCTCATTTGAGCCATTTGATTCTGGCGTTCTCTTGTCCAAGCTGGAACAAAAACACAACAATTTAGGCAGAGCCATAAGAGAAGTTCATTAAGCAAATAACCAGATCAGATAAACACAGAACGAACCCTTCCATTGCATCAAATGATGTTTCGTTGGTTTGAAAAGCCTACGACATATACAAATACAAACCAAAATATATATAGGAACCTATAACTAGTTGAGATAAGGAGGAGTTCTAGTTCTGTTGGGGTTTCTTAGTTTTCTAATTCAAAAATTATTCACATGACTTATCCACGGCAACTGAACACAAAAATTATAAATAAGTAGAAGATTTGGGAGGGGATTTAAGATAACTACACTAAGATTTGAAACCATCCAACTACAAATTATGTTGTTCACCCAATCTTAACAATCTAATGCGTTCAACAATTATCCAACAAATACCCAAATCACAAGGATACCAAAGACTTATCTCATAGAAGCTGAAAGGGGATTCTAGGTAACGTATCCCTTGATCGCCACTGACCACAATGGGTATTTCGAGTGAGTCGCCGATCTTCGTGCTCAAGGCTGAACAACGGCAACGGATCCATTGCCACGGTAGGGACGTTGTTGGGAATGATAGGGCAGCCAGACGATTTTGATGACGGACGGAAGGTGGTTCAGGAATTGTGTAGCCATGGATGGGGAAATTGAATCGGCGGTGGTTAAAACGAGAGGGGAGGAGCCTTGACGACTATGGCGATTTCGAGGGTGTCGGGATTTGGGTAGTGATGGCCGACCAGCGACAATGGTGGTTTATTGGCACAACAGAGACGTGACCTGGTAGCTGCAACTGGGTTGACGACGGTGTTGACATTGATTGCTGGGGATTCGGGATGTGGGTGGTTATGGTCGATCGGCCGCAATGGCGATGGTGATTGTGGATTCACGCGGCAGAAACGATGCTGTCGATGAGCAGAAGGCGGCTACGGGGCTGATGATGCAGCTGATTTTGCCAGACGAAGTTGGGATTTTGCAGGTGAGGTCGATCGACGAAAACAACGTGGTGGTGGAGTGCCGCGATGGAAGGGTTTCCTTGATTTACAATGGAAAGACATGGAAGGGAACGACTGTCCTGCCTTTTGCCTTTTGTTTCTTTTTTTTTTAATGTTTTATTAATTAAATTACTAAACCGGAGTCAACCAATAAATCACCAACTCAACCGGAGCCAACCAATAAATCACCAACTCAACCGGTTACAATAAAGTGGCGGTACTAGTGCAGTGACTGCACCATAGAATTCCCCGTGTTATGGATCCAAAAGACGATGAACTATAGGATACTATATATAAATATAGTAATGTTTGGAGAATTACCGTTCCAAAACCTCTAGATTGTAAACAATTAAGATATTTTGCCCTTTCGAATGGTTGGGGAAAAAATTTACTACAGTTCTAAAAAACACACCTAGACACTCGTCTAAGTTCGTCTAGTCGCAAGTCAGAAAGAAAATACTTTGCTTTGGCAAACAGCAGTGGAGAAGACACATTGAACACGTTGTGGTCTCAGTGACGCCTAGTTAGCATTGAGCTACGTCTCAAAATGATGTCACGATGTCTTTTTCTACCTTTTGCTATGCTACTAGAAATAACGGTTTTGATTTATTTACCGTTAAACTAGAATATAGTTAGAGACGATTATATTTAGAGTAGCTTCTTTCTTTTTTGGTGATATTAGATTTCTACATGTTATAAAATATATAATAAAAAAAATGTTAAGAACATTCAAGCACAGTCTTACTCCATGTTTGTTCAATTACTCTTTTACCCGCATATGCAATATAGACATTGAGTTCCGCATATGAATTGTGTAATTAATCGTTGTTCAAGGTTCGAACACAACTTCTCTCTTTCAGAAAATACGAACCGACTAAAACCCACCATTATCGGGTTTGGGCCCAAATCCAACTAACAAAAGAGATCAAGTGAGAATAATGTCGCGTAAATTAAAGGGTAATGATTATTTATTAGCCAAATCCTTTTCCGATTCTTTTTAATTAGCAAAACCTATCAAAATGCTATTAATTAGTCATAACGTTAACTCTCCGTTAACTTTTCTATTTAACGATGGTGAGCTGTCATATGTGGGACTGAGTTGGAAGGAATATTCTGACGTGCCACTGAGTGAAAACCTCAATTTCTCCAATAATTTAACTATATTTTATCATATACGGTTTTTTTTAGTCTTTTAATGAAAATAACGAATATTTCTAATGTTTTTCATACAAATTACATACCGAATGGGTCGATCTATCCCGACCAGTGCCCCATGATAAATTACCCGACATGGACCCAACCTGCCACGAGACAAGTATGGATATTGACATACCTGCCTCAGACCTATTCATTGTCATTCCTAGCACAAATGTCAACTTAAGAAGACGAAAGGTTAGTCTTGTAAAATAAAAAATTAAAAAGGAAGACGAAGGTTAGTGTCACAATCTAATATTTCAATGTTAGGATCAGTACTTATTCCACATTCCAATTCCACGTTCTAATTGAAAATACTTCGGACATTGATACTCTTTACTCATGTAATGTAGCATAAGAGAAAATTCAAACCAAACAGTGTGCACGAACCCTCAAAATTTCTAGCTTTAACTGTCCTCTTGGTAATCCGGGTTCTCCTTCAGGATCACAAATCCTTCCAAAATTGGCGACAGTGGAATGTACCTGAAGAACAAAAACACCACCACCAAAAGTATATCAAGAAAACGCTGGGAAAATTAGTTGTCCTCCTGAGAGAGCATGAGCCGGTTCTCTACAAATCAATGCAGAAAAGCAAAGAAGAACATCTTACTTCTCCATCGCTAGCTCAGCTCTGTCGCCAGCAGCCAATAGAACCGGCGTTGAATGGGTCTGGAAACCTGTTATGGTTTTGGGTCGACCAGCTTGGCCAACCACATCTACAGCCTGTCCGACCCGTACAGGAACGGACAGAGGCTTCAAATTCTCATCCACCGTCATCAACATTCTTGGCTGCAACAGAAGCAAACCCACCAACTCAATAATTAAAGCACCAAATTATAGTCATTTATTGGTTTTACATGACATGAAACAGAGGTACCGTACCTGCATTGCTAAGACGAGGAAGTAGAGGACGATGTGATATCTCCCCAGTACCATGGCCTTCATTTCAAGACAAGCATGCAAAAAGGTAACTAAACCTGCAAGCGCCACACTGCACACAAAGAAGGGAAATATTCCTCAAACAGAATCAGGTAAAGAGCGGTAAACACCTTCCCATCTTGATGATTAATGAGAATCAGAGTAAAAAAAAAATATTGTAGCTCTCCAGCAGGTCACTTACGGTGATAGCAAGAACCGATCAGAGTGATACGGATTAAGAGTCAACATACCCTTGCCTAAGTGCACAAGGCCTTGAGCAATTCTTACCTACAGAAGCCAGATAACAAGCACTCAGAACTCAGACATTATGTACAATCATATGAAAGTAAACCAATCCAAGACGACATTCACAACTTGGACATATCATATGCTATCATGTGAAAATCAAACAGACCACAATAGTAGCAGCCTTACACAGAAAAGAAGGGTGGCATCTTTGTAATAATAACTCGAAAGATTGCGAAGCATGCCAGCAATTCGTGCATTATTCGTCCCGGCACCTATCAGCCCAAGGGAAATAATTGCAGCCTGCAAAAGACATGGAGACATTGCTACCTTTAGAAATTATACAAAACCGTCGAAGTAATACTCTGGTCTAGCAGAACACTAGCTTACTGATGCAACTTCTGAATCCGTGTCATGACTAAGTCTGCTTAGCGTATCCATCACATTGATCTGATACAAATTTACCCAATAAGTTACAGAAACACTACGATAGATGAAAAGCAGAGTGATCAATGCGTTTGTGGAAAACAAAGCCTAAGACCTTATGAAACAACTCACCTTTGGATTCGATATGCATAGAAGGGCAAGAGCCAAAGGAACTGACCACCAGATGTTCTGTTCCCCATATTGCAAAAGATGCTCCAAAGTTCGAATTGCCATGTCAAGTCCCAATTCCTCAGCCATAGACACCATTGCTATTCCAAGCACCGCAGGTCCCTGGTAGTTTTCACCCTTCTCCAAATGCTGAGCACAATTCCAAAGGAGGTTTTGAACCTAGAGCAAGAAACAAGCCACCAATTAAAACCGGGGAGAAATGAAGAAACAATGTTCCCAGGTAGAGCAAAGCAAAAGCAAAACAAACGATCCAAAATAACACTTCTAGCTTCTTGAATGGAAACTGCAAATTTATTGACATCAAAAGCATACCTTCAGAACATTCCCTGTCCCAGCGTAGGCACAAGAAAGTAGGGTCATATCACAGTACTTTCTGATCTTCTCGTTAAATGTCTTTGAGACCTCAGCTGTAGCTTCTACACTTTCCTGCAGGTGAGTAGACATCAGTAAGTGTACAAGGCTCTCTGCTGTCTTAAATAAACCCAAAATTAGCCACATGTAGCAAATATAACACATGACCAAGTGAACTTTACACCAATCCAGTGTCTTAAATTTCACGTACCTGCTTCCCAAGGTATAACAGACCAAGACCAAGTGGCAAAAATTTTGTAAGAGGACTCTTGATGGATGCTTACTTCACATTTTTGTTTGTTAAGATTCACCTTATGATGGATCTTATGGAACTGCTTCTACCCACATTTTTGTTTGTTAAAATTTACCCAAAGAGGCAAAATTTTTGTAAGAAGACCAAGTAGCAAATATAACACATGACCAAGACCAAGATCAAGGACTTTTGAGCGGCTAAAACTGCCAATTTCAGTTTTCCGAAGGGTTTAGACTTTAGACAGCATACCCTCTCTCCGCGCCCCAGCCCCCCACCCTTGACCAGAGCAAGAGAGCCGGGTACCCTGACCGTCTTCCTCCCGTCCCGCAGTTTAGAGTGTTCGAGACTCTTCCTTCTGCGTCAGTCATTCTTTCCTCTCGCTTCTTCGGTTAGTATCTTCTGTCGCTGGAAGAAGGAGTTCTGAGGAATTGCCCTCCTCGCATAGTAAGTCCCAGTTTCATTCCTCGTGCTTGTCTTTCTGCAGAATCTCGTTTTGGTTCTGCGTATTTGAAAATTTGAATGCTATGCACACATAGAAAAATGAACTGGCCATGTTTTCTTGATGTGCTGCCCGCAACCTTCAGATGTTGCATAGGCGCGTTCGCATATGGATTTTCCAAATGTCTTATCTTCTTAGCTTTTGTAAATTATAAGGTAAGGTCAATATAATTGTGACTGTTGAAACTCTATAGTGGAAGGTGTATTGTTGTCGAGCTGAAAGGCTTCGAGTCCAGCTTCCCTGTTATGGCCTCTCTGTTACATGGTGAAAAGTTGGAATTTTTTGTTTATAGCACTCATTCAATGGTAAACGAGTATCATTGAATGAGAAAGCTTAAGCCAAATTCTTAGACCGGTAGCTGTAGAGATTGAGAGAAGAGTGTGACCTTCGAGCAAGTTGGTCAAATTTAAGTAATGGAAAAGCCTTAAAGCCAAGTTCTTAGACTGGGAGCTCGTGGAGCTTAATGTTGTTAGACCTCTTCAATTGTCTTACGTGAATGGAATTAAAATTTTTCTGCACTGTAGATTTCGTTGAGTTTTCACTTTGCTTAGAGTTTATCCGTATCATTGAGTCCGAGAGCCTTCCTTCTAGGAGTGCATCATGTTCCTGAACTTGTTCTAAAAGGAATCCCCCACGTCATTCTTGGACACATGTTGACAAGACGATAGTGATCAATACACCTATTATGAGCAGGTTCTAAAGATTGTTTTTTCTTTGATATCAAGTTCCATGGCTCATGGAAATTTAAGACAAAAGGTTTGGGGAAATATTGGCTCTGTTCTTTAGTCACGATGTTGTTGAGTAAGGTTGTAACTTAGTCTCTGTCATTGCTATTGTTGGTTATATTTAGGGATAACAATAAAACCCGGACCCGCGAATACCCGGATAACAATAAAGCAGGTAAAACCTGTGTTGACCGGGTTCGGGTTTAAACCCAGTGGCTTGTTGAGTGGGTTGGTGCGGGTTCGGGTTTGGAGTACCCGCCCCGTGGATACCCGGATACACATACTAACCCTAAATTTCCCAAACATTTCACGGATTCTCCCATCTCTCCAGAAACAAAAGCCCCGCCACATTCATCCCTTTACCTCTCTGACTCGCGACTCGCGATCTCCATCTCCACCCTCCCGTCCCTACTCCAATCCGACGGCCGCCAGCACCAAAACCCGTTTCCCATCCCGCCGACCTCCCCCTGCTCCTCCTCTACTCTGCGTTTCCGCCTCCATTCCCGACAGCCGCCGCCCGTCAGACCCGATTTTCATCCCGTCATCCTCCCACTGCTCTTTCTCTGCTCTGCGCCTCCGACTCCTTTCCCGCCGCCCGCCCCGCCCCGCCCCGCCCCGCCGCCCTCTCCCTGCTCCTCTGCTCCGCCACCCTTCGACGCCTGACGGTCGACATTCCCGCCATTCCCACCTGCTCCTTCGCGGCTCCGCCTCCTGTCGACGAGTTAAAAACTTGAACGAGCTGTCACAGCTCAAGTCGGGGAAAGGAAGTCACCCACTTCTGCTCGTTGGGTGGTACTGGTAAGGTAAGAGATTTGTATCTACTGCTCTCTTTGTACTATGGTTACTTTCACTTATAGAAGAACATTTCATAATTATATTGTTAAGGCAGAGTTTGAAATTCCCAATTTAATATAGTTGGAATCAATCTAAAATTTGAACCTTGCATGTATTTTTAAATGGTTTTGATTTGAATAACATGTGTCTATCTATCTTGGTTGGTTCACGGACACTTTGATACTCTCAATGGTATTGATTCCATTCCTGCTTAAACCAGGAAACATTTGTGTTGCAGGTTTGTTGACCAGTCTGGTTTTGAAAACATAGGAGCGGGAGCAAGCTACCCTCTGGTATTTTCTATTTGTCGCTTGTGCTCTTTGTCAACCTCGTAATCAAGGACCAGCAGAAGAAGATGAAAGTAAAAGTAATATCACGCTCTACTGATGAGTTTACTCGAGAAAGAAGCCAAGATCTTCAGGTCCAACCAGATAACTAAAATTTTATGATATCTTTTCTGTTCTTTTCATTGATAGTCTCTTCAAATAGCATACTCTTTTTAATAATTCAATTGTTGGATTTTTTTTTTCAATTAGAGAGTGTTCCGCAATTTCGACCCCAAACTTCGGCCTCAAGAGAAAGCAGTTGAATATGTCAGGGCACTTAATGCTGCCAAGTTAGAGAAGGTAACTTCGAGCTTTATGAATTTTTTTCATGCTGATGATGATTTTCACGACTGTTTGAATTCATCTTCTTAACAAGTTGCTAGGAATGGAATTTTTTATTTGCTTTCTAATCTAACATCTGGGGAATTGATTATTATTCTCTTAGATCTTTGCAAGACCATTTATAGGAGCAATGGATGGTCACATAGATGCTATTTCGTGTATGGCGAAGAACCCCAATTTCTTGAAAGGGATTTTTTCCGGCTCTATGGATGGTGGTAAAAGATCTTTTTGCCTTCATTTTTGTTATGCTTGTTCTAGGACTCTATTAATGTAAAAGGTTGGATTGTATCACAACTTATCATGGTTGTATCCAGGCCACTACCTTACACTTCTATCTATTATATTGGAGTTAGATACAGGATTCTTCTCATATAGAGCTGTGGATGTGTCATTGTTCGTTTGTGATGATTCTAATTGCTTTGTATGGGTGTTTGCAGATATTCGCCTCTGGGATATAGCTTCCAGGTAATCTTTTCTTTGTACAACCCACTGCCAATTTCTTTCTTAAAATCGAAGACTGGTCATGGTGTGCAATAGGTTTCCTAGCTGGACATCATAGGGTAGACGGGGAGCATTTTGTGTTCTGCCTAGCTTATTATATTCACTTTGTCTAGAGATTAACTGGTGGCTCTTCATGCAACTTGATCCATTTATCATTTACTGACAATTTGTTGCCTGGATGAAATTGTGAATGGAAAAACACACTGCAAAACTGCAGAAGGGACTTCATTGTTGTGATTTATTGCTGTAGATATTAGAGCCCGTGGGTCCTTAAGTAGAACTAAAGGAATGACCCTGATTACATTGTGTGAGGTGGGTATTACTTTCTATGACGTGGCTCCAGCTTTGCTCATAAATTTGACAAATCTTTCAGACTATGGTAGTAGTCTGTTGGAAGGAACTTGTTATTTTATACGGTTAGATCTTCCTTTTTTGTATGCTTTGCTACCATTCATTAACAATGAGTGGGGTCCACGTGGAAAAAAACACAAATTGGATTGATGTAGGACTCTTTTGTTTGTCAGTCGCTTTTTTATCATGTCCTGTCTGCCGAATCAAAATGTTCCATTGTACTTTTTTCAGCTTTGAGATGTCAATTTTTGTTTGTTAAGATTCACCTTATGATGGATGCTTACTTCACATTTTTGTACCCAAAATTGCACCGAACGTGTGGATTGAGCAGGAAAACAGTTTGTCAGTTTCCTGGTCACCAAGGTGCTGTAAGAGGCTTAACAGCATCCACTGATGGAAGCACCCTAATATCTTGTGGAACAGATTGCACGTAAGTATGAGCTTCTGCATATTTGTTTCTTCTCTTCCAAGCAAGATCTTTTTCTAGAGTGTGGATATATTTTGATTTATCCTGCACATTTAGTGTTAGGATTTGGAGTGTGCCAGTAGCTGCTACCTTGGAATCAGATCATGCCTCTAATAAGCCCATCGAGGTAGTGCTTTCGTTGTTGTTGCTGTCTGATAAATGTGCTCTCTTTCCCATCTTGCCATGCTGACTGTGCTTGTTTACATATCCAGGCCAATGCAGTTTATGTTGGAAAGAATGCTTATTGGTGAGGATTTAAGAACTACTTGCGAGTTCCATATGAGCTTCAGTATAGCTGGGGTTTTCAATTATTCTTATTAAACAACTTTCCATTTTACCATCTAATCACAGGGCCGTAGACCATCAGTGGGGTGGTGACCTCTTTGCTACAACTGGTGCTCGAGTTGAAATTTGGAATCACAACAGGTTATTTTTCTTGGGTTTTTTGTGTTACACTGAAATATTGAATTTTCATTATTGATTTGACAAGATTGGCTTCTTTATCAGGTCGCAGCCCGTAAACACTTTCGAGTGGGGGACAGATACAGTTATCTCCGTCCGGTTTAATCCTGGGGAGCCAAATCTTTTGGCCACGTCAGCTAGGTATGTGGTGGGAAGATGAATCCTGTATTGGTCGCTAAGGGCTTAATGATTGAAATGTATGGATAGGTGACGCTGTATATGTGATTCCAATTGTTTTATAACAAAGTAGAAGGGTGATATTGAAATAGAAGATTTATAGCAAATAGTGCTTTTGGATTGAGCTTTTATGTTGCAAATTATGAATTGGGATTATATAGACAGTTGAAGTCCAATTCAAATAGTCTCATAGCATTGATACCACTACCATATTATTAATAAGCAGAGTCCAATTCCCCAATCTCAAGAACTTGAATGGTAACCATTATGCTTTGTAGGTACAGGTGTGTGTGGTTTTCTTTTGGTTTGGTAGCTTGTTTTTGTGTTGTTAATGATCTATACTACTGGCTTGTCCAACATACTTGTGGGTTGAAGAGAGGTTGTTAATTGTTCCTAAAATTTCATAATATTTTTTCAGTGATCGCAGCATTGCGTTGTATGACTTGCGCATGTCAACTCCTGCAAGGAAACTTATCATGCAGGTAAATTTTTTGGTTATGAACTCTAGATGTGATTCATGCTGATGATCTCAAAATTTATTGCTATCTTTTTGTCCTGTAAGATCGCTGCTGTACAATATTTCTAAAATCGACTGAGTTTGTATCTATTCCTTCTATCATGTATGTGTGCATGTATGGGTGGAAGACCATCACCATTTTTATGGTTGATGTTGAAGTCGGAGGAAATGCAAACCTAGTTATGTGTAGGACACAGATAAAGTTCAGACTTCAATTCTCTCTGCTTTGACAGCCTTCTTCATGACTCACTTGCTTGTCTATTGGGTTGCTTGTCCTCGAGTTTCATTCTCTTGGGTTCTTCTAAACTTTGATTTCGCTTGCTTCTGGTTTTTGCTACTTGCTATTGCAGTTATGTCTGTAAATCTGAGTGTTATCTTTTTGTTACAGACAAGAACCAATTCCATTGCTTGGAACCCCATGGAGCCACTCAACTTCACAGCAGTAAGCCCATTGATATTGTTAAAATCATTCTGGTGTCTGATAACTTTGTCAAACATGGATATACAAGGCATACCTAACTGTTGCTGATTGCTTTGCTAGTGTCGTCTATCAAACTAATTTATGATACAATTTTTCATTTCTGCAGGCAAATGAGGATTGCAGCTGCTATAGCTATGATGCTAGAAAACTGGACGAAGCCAAATGTGTGCACAAAGATCATGTTTCTGCAGTGTGAGTTCATGCTCATTTCTTTTAGCGTCTGCATGTGCAATTTTGTTTTGTGCTTTTAATACCTTCTCAGGAGATCTATAATCTTGTCTATCCTTATTTCAGCATGGACATAGACTACTCTCCTACTGGCCGGGAGTTTGTAACTGGATCTTATGATAGAACTGTAAGTTCAATCTTTCATTGGTTGTGTTTGCTTGAAAGGCGAACAGTTACATTGTCGTTCAGTCTCTGTCCTTTGGGTACATTTCTGATTCTGATCTTATGGAACTGCTGCCTGATGTCTGATTGCAGGTTAGAATTTTCCCATATAACGGTGGCCATAGTCGGGAAATCTATCATACAAAGAGAATGCAAAGGTTTGTTTCCTTAGTTATTTATATCCTGTTCAAACTCACAAGTCATGCTAGTCCATGAAATAGCAACTTCGTCCTGACGTTTTTTGAGTTGATAGTTATTTGATGACAACACAATTTTCATCTTTTTTTGGCAGGGTATTTTGTGTCAAATTTAGCAGTGATGCAAGTTACATTATTTCAGGGAGTGATGACACTAACCTTAGGTTGTGGAAAGCTAAAGCATCGGAGCAGATGGGAGTTGTAAGATATATTTAGTTCCATGTTCCGACTTAATTAGTCTGTTTTATGTAGATCAGGCTTTGCTGAATCATTTTCTTCTAATTGCTAATATCTATACATCCTGCTGTTGCAGTTGCTTCCAAGGGAACAGAAAAAGCACGAATACCAGGAAGCTGTCAAGAATCGTTATAAGCATCTACCTGAAGTCAAAAGGATAGTGAGGTAAGCGAATTTTTCAGGTCACATGTGAAAGTGATTAACGACAAGCCTTTATGCCACGATTTTCTGCAACTTAATTTGGCGTGCGTTATGGATGATTGTGTAGACATAGGCATTTGCCAAGACCAATATACAAAGCTAAGGAGTTGCGCCGCACGGTGATTGATGCTGAGAAGAAGAAAGAGGAAAGGAGGAAAGCTCACAGCACCCCAGGGAGCATCGTTACGGAATCAGTGCGTAAAAGGAGGATCATTAGAGAAGTTGAGTAGTTCGTTCAGTTTTCGACGGGATAGCGTTGTCGAGTTTGCAGGTTGCATCGAAACTCTCAAGGCCATATGGGTATCTTATCAACCATTCTGGAAGAGCTTTTGATCAAACTAAGGATGGGATAAGTACGCCCACGCATGACTAGTTGTATATGTACCATAACAGTCTTTTCGTGCTTCGTATTCGTTTTTCACTATTTTGATACTTCATAGTTGGCTTCCTTGGATACGGACGTGTTTGCGAATTGCGATACAACGAAGAGAAATGAGGAATTCCAAGGAAATGGTTTTGATCGATGCAAATGTACTTGTGTTCTTTGGCGCATCAATATTGTTTCTGTTTTTATTAATTAGGTTCTCCAGAACTAGTAAGGATAATATCATGTTAAGAAGGTTTAAGATAATAATTGGTGGTGGGTCGATCTCAAATTGTGGTTCAACCAATCACTTGACCACCCCATCTAATCTGGATAATAACCACTTTGTACGATTTTTTAGTGGATAAAATATCTCGGGTATCACTTAAGTTTCAGAGGTTGCCATTCAGCACATGGCAATCGTACAAGTTAGGTTGCCATTCAGCACTCCCCACATTTTCCACTATAATACAATCAACAGAAATGTAAAAGAAGAGGATTAATTAAGTAGCCTGCAAGAAGTGCTCCATATATGTTGTAATGGGAGGAGACAGCAAGTGAAGTTGTGGTGGGTCAATCTCATATCATGAATTGCAGGTGGTAGCTGCGAGATGGGAGCCGTGGCACGGGAAATTCGGGCTGTCGTATCCGTGGGACAAATACAAGAGGATAGGGGAAGTAGTGAATGAGCTGGCCGCAGCCATCCTCTCACTCAAATGTTGTCTAAAATCACCAAGACAGGTATCACCCACTACTCCCACGCATGCACACCCACCAGTACTACCATTACCCTCTTCTTTCTTTCTTGATAAATCCACCGCTGCCTGGTTTTGTTGGTGCTTTTACTTATAATAGCACCATAAATTGTCTGGCAGAATACTTACTTACTTGCTTGCTTGTAGTTCCGATTATAGTTCGCTTACAATGAGTTCGTCACTTGTCAGTAAGTTGCGTATTCAGGAAAAAATCTATTATTTGTGTCATTAAGAAAAAGATAGCCAAGTTGATTATTTTATATCATTAGCTAGCACGTACTCGTAAATGAAATTCAACACATAAATTTTGAATTGTATGTATATTACATATTTTATTTAAGTCAATTATTAATAGTGAGAATTGTGATGTTCAAACAAAAAAAGCTATTGATGGAAATCTATGATACTAAATTTTTTGGAAGCAAAATATAGCAAGAAAATTTTATATCGGTCTCGTCTCTTATCATGGCAAAGGCTAGTGCATGGCATACGCCTACGTTCACACTTATTACTTATTAGATGCACCTCGATATATTTCGACGATTGGCCGTCGGTTTTTTTTTATATATATTAAATAAATCTTGAGATTTGAGTTAGAAAATTAGTAATTGAGATTCGCCGATTAAAGATTATGATATAATATCATGCTATAAATTTTGATTTATCCATTATATGAATAACAAAACTTGATGGGTATGCCAGAAAATCTAGCCCTCTTATCATAATTGTTAATCTTTAAATTTTTGGAACTCAGTACAAGAAGAAATTATATATCATTCTCTTACCATATGTATGTTTATCTTTTTGTCACTCAAAGGGTCGTCACACGAAAGAAAAGAATCACCCGATCGAACCCAATGACTACAACTTTATTCTTGTTATTTTTTTTTTCGTACTGGTGACGTTGGTGCTAACTATTTTTCTCGCATTCTAATAATGTGATCAAAGGCAGAACAAACCAACAGAGAATCAATCAAAGAGCCCTGCCAAGCCGCAGCTGCGTCGCTGGCGTGGACCATCGGAGAGCTAGGCGACAGCATTTGTGGGATGCGAAGATGCAATCCCGAGACCTCGATACTGCCGGAGTTGAAATCGGCGAGGCTGGAGCTAAGCAGGGCCGCCAAGACGCCGTTTCAGCGAGGATCAGATAAAGGCAGCGACGCTGAGACACTTGGGATGGCGAGCTTTGTATTCGGGTTGATGGAGATCGTGGAGGTTTTGGAGCAACTGGCGAAGGAGGTGGATGAGCTCGGCCAAACCGCCGGTTTTCATGAAACCTAATGATGGTGACGATGAAGATGCTAGCTAGTACGTACGCAATATAATCCGTCAAGAAATATATATATAGCCGCGTGGGGATCTATTTTCAACTAAGGAAGAAGAAACCAAACTATATTGATGTATTGGGCCAAATATTTTTGGGCTCGGTCGGTCGATGTTAATGTATTAACTCTCATGCAGTACAAGAAGTAAATAAAATTGACGTGTGAAGTGTGAACCATAACATTTTATGGTGAAAAAAATATATAATCGAGAAAGCAATAAAAGGATGTTGAAATGTGTTGAATTTGTTATTTGTAGTTCTTATGAGATCTCATTGTTCGAATAACATGGTAGAGTTTGAGGTTGACACATGAGATCTCTTGATTGCTTATGGTGTATGGACTTTGCCCATATGTTTATTTATTTATTTATTTTGGGTTCTGTTTATCGCCTATTTCATTTACCGATATATAAAATGTTTTGCCATATATTTTTATTTATTTATTATGGGAAAAAAATCTGTAATAATATGCAATCTATTATATTTAGGGTTAATTGCAAGGTTGGTCACTGTGATTACTAAAAACGTTCATGTTTAGTCACTATAAATATTTAATTCCATTCGTAGTCACTAGATTTAGTAACACATGTCATGTTTAATCACTCTCCGGCCAACTCCGTTAACTTTATCTGATGTCGCAGTCAACTCTTATAGTTGACCGTTAAATGTGGACGTGGCAATTAAATAATAAAAAAATTAATGTTTTAAATTTTCCACCTCATTTACACAACTATTAATAAAAAAAATTGATTTCCTATAATCCCCTACACACCAAAATTCTACCAGTTTATGCTTTCACTCGCCTTTCGTGCATTATTCTACTTCTCTGTCGCTGACCGGATCGACAACTGCTCTTCAGTTTGAGGAAATTGTTCGAGTCCATTGGGAGACCCGCGAGCAGCTTCCTAATCCGTTCCACCGCCGCCGCCTCGAATTCCTTGGTAGCAATTCGCTCTGTCAGCCAGCTAATCACCTGTTTGGCTACCCAGATTCATAAATTTCTCGGCGTAGCTGCTCTCCTTCGCCAAAACCCCGTCACCGGAGCTGAGATCATCAAACGGCGACGAAGGACGGAAAGCCTTCCGTCAGTGGCCAGAGGTCGTATTCTTCGCATAGAAGGCCATACCCACTAATTACGTGAGTACATTGCCTTCATCTTGTACCCCTGTTTTTGTTTTGGAGCAATTGGGGGAGGAAAATTGATGGGTTCTGACTCCTTTGTAACTACCTTCATTTGGAGGATGTCGATGTTGAAATAAAATAAAGTTTAATTATAATAATTAAGTTGAAAAAAATCAGAACCCCCTAGAATTCTGTCAACGTGGCTGTGGTGGTATGATCTAGAAATGGTTAGGTTAGAATTAAATTGGGTTAGTTGCATTATTATGTATTAAACAAATGAAAAAATTATAAGCCACATGTTTGAGTCGGTTGTGGCAGAGTGTTTAAGGAGAATGAAGCCTATAAAAGGCTTGTCCATGTACGTTTCAGAGCAGAGCCAAAGAAAGAAAAAAACAAAGCAATAAAAGAAGCCTCCTCTAAAAAATCTCTCTGCCAATTCCCTTTTCCCAATTATTCCCTACCAATCCAATTCCATCCCTCCAAATAACCAACCAAGCTTCTCATTCCAAAAGCAACGTGCCCACCAAAGTAGAATAAGGAAATAAATTATTTTATTTCCAACAAAGTGGTATCAGAGCCCGAGTTATTTCTGAGTATGCTCTGTGGTTGCGGCGTAGTCTGATCTTCCACATCAGAAAAGAATTTCTCGTGTTGTGGTTATCACGATTGTCCCATGGCTGAAAAATCTACTTTCCCCATTCAATTTCCCCACCTTACCAAAACCAATTATAAAAATTGGTGCATCCGTATGAAAGCCTTGCTTGGATCCCAAGATGCTTGGGATATTGTCGAAAAAGGCTACGAGATTCCCGTGGAGGATTCTCGGTTATCTCCTACTGAAAAGGAGGTATTGAGAAAAAATAGAAAGAGTGACCAGAAAGCTCTCACTCTCATTCATCAATGTCTTGATGAATCCATGTTCGATCAAATAGCAGATGCTACCACGGCTAAGGAAGCATGGGAGATTTTTCAAAAGAAAATGCAAGGCGTGGAACCAGTGAAGAAGGTTCGACTTCAGACATTACGGGGAGATTTTGAAGCCATTAAAATGAAGGAAGGTGAATCTGTTGCAGATTACACCGCCCGTGTGAAGTCAGTCGTCAGCAAACTGAAGCAGTATGGGGAGAAAATTGAAGAAACCAAAGTGGTGGAGAAAATTCTACGGTCATTATTACCGAAGTTCGATTATGTGGTAGTGGCCATGGAGGAAGCTAAGGATGTGTCAAAAATGACGGTGGATGAAGTCATCGTCTCACTTCAAGCCAGAGAGGAAAGGCTAAATAAAAGAAATGAAGAATCGTCAGAACAAGTGTTAGCCACAAAAGCTACCACTGAGGAGAAAGATGGTGCCTGAGGAGGAGGTCAGTACAGAGGTCGAGGCAGAGGCAACTACAGAGGCAGAGGAAGAGGAAGAGCCCGAGGAGCATATCAAAGCAGAGATGGAGGAAATTTCACCACGAACTATGAAACGTCCACCAGAGGCAGAGGTCGTGGTCGTGGACGCGGAAGAGGAAGTTGGAGATCAAATGAAGGTCGTGATAAATTCAACGTCCAGTGCCATAATTGCTCGAAGTACGGGCATTATGCATCGGAATGTTGGAGTCCGCCTAAAGAAGTGGAGGAGACAGCAAACAACGTGCAAGAAGAAGAAGTCAAAGGCACATTGATGTTGTCACATCAAGGAGATGAAAAACCGAGAGACGACATGTGGTATCTAGATAATGCAGCAAGCAACCACATGTGCGGTAAAAGAAGCATGTTCGTGGATATGGATGAATCGGTGAAAGGAAATGTCGTATTTGGAGACTCCTCGAAGGTTCCTATCAAAGGCAGAGGAACTATACTCATCCGGCTCAAGAATGGCTCACAGCAATCTATCAGTGATGTGTACTATGTCCCAGACATGACTAGTAACATCCTGAGTTTGGGTCAATTGATGGAGAAAAATTATGAAGTCCACATGGTGAATCGTCAACTGGAGTTGTTAAATGAGAAGAAGCAGTTGTTGGCCAAAGTCCCAATGTCGAGAAACAGAATGTTCACCCTGAACATTCAGACTGAAATGGCGAAGTGTTTGAAAGCATGCGTGAAGGACACTACATGGCTGTGGAATCTGAGGTATGGCCATCTGAATTTTGGAGGCCTAAAGTTACTCGGTCAGAAGAAGATGGTTCATGGTCTGCCAGTGATCAATCATCCAGACCAGTTGTGTGAAGGATGCTTGGTTGGAAAGCAATTCAGGGCAAGTTTCCCGAAGGAGTCCCTGTCAAGAGCTAAAGCACCACTGGAGCTCGTCTATACAGATCTCTGTGGACCGATCACCCCAACATCGTTCGGGAAGAACAAATACTTCCTATTGTTCATTGACGACTACAGTAGAAAGACGTGGGTTTACTTCTTGAAGCAGAAGTCAGACACATTTGAAGCTTTCAAGAAGTTCAAGATGCTCGTGGAGAATGAAAGTGGCTGCTACATCAAAGCCATGAGATCAGATAGAGGTGGAGAATTTATGCTCAAGAAATTCAGAAGGTTCTGTGAATATCAAGGAATTCGCAGGTTTCCCTCAGTCCCAAGATCCCCACAGCAAAATGGAGTTGTTGAGAGGAAGAACAGAACTGTACTCAACATGGCGAGAAGCATGATGAAGAGCAAGAACCTGCCTAAGGAGCTATGGGCTGAAGCTGTTGATTGTGCAGTCTACCTGCTGAACAGGTCACCAACAAAGAGTGTTTGGAATCAAACACCCCAAGAAACATGGAGCGGAAGGAAACCCACAATCTCTCACCTCCGAGTCTTCGGAAGTGTTGGATATGTGCACGTACCGGATCAAGAAAGGAAGAAGTTGGATGACAAAAGCAAGAAGTACATATTCCCAATGCAGTCTAAATCGCGCTTTTAAACTTAAAAACTTACGATTTTACGCTTTTAGGTTATCAAAACGCTTTCGTTTCTATATAAAAACTTAAGTGTATAAAATTGGACTAAATTGCGCTTTAAATCTTAAAAACTTACGGTTTTACGCTTCTATTTCACCAAAACGCTTTACGTTTTTACGCTTTTAGTTCACTAAATAAGTATTCTTTTCATGAAATTAATTATAAAAAGTATATTTAAAAGTAAATCACCAACAATATGATACATTTGAGATTAAAATATATATATATATATATCAGGTACTTGGATGCATTCTCAACTTCAATAGAGTAATCTAATTCACCAGCTAGGCTTTTCCCAAATTCATTAGCATAGAAGGAAAAATGGCTTATTGTTAAAATTTATGTTTACGAACTTATTATTAAGATGCTATAAGTTGTTCTACTTTAGGCATGAATCACATGTATTTATTAACTTATCTAAATTTCGTGCATGCATATTTTGCATAGCATATGTCCAACTTAATAAATGTTTAGTTATTTTTCAGTATGCGTAAAAAACTTACGCTTTTACGCTTTGATTCTACGCTTTATGATTTTACCCATTTTCCGCTTCTACATAAAATCGCGCTTTTGACTGCATTGCATATTCCTGGGATACTCAGAACACTCAAAAGGTTACAAAATGTTTGATCCCGTGGAAGAGAAGTTGATCATCAGCAGAGACGTGGTGGTTGATGAAAAGGCAACATGGGACTGGACTGCTGAAGTAAAGAAGAATTACACTTTTTATCCATTCACTATGGATGAAAGTGATGAGGAACCAGATACAGCTACACCTGTGACGAGTCCACCCAGTCACAGAGAGCCTGCTAGCCCAGAAGGAGAATCTAGTGAAAGTCCCCGAGAAAGGCCACAGAAGTATAGGAGACTTGAAGAAATTTATGAGGAAACGACAACCATTGAAGGTGATGAATTGACACTCTATTGTCATTTCATTGATAGTGAACCAGTGGATGTTGAAGAAGCCATGAAGGATGAAAAATGGAAGAAAGCCATGGATGAAGAAATTGGAGCAATTGTGAAGAACAAGACTTGTGAGCTTGTGTCGCTACCTGAGAACCAGAAGCCCATCGGTGTGAAGTGGGTATTCAAGGCCAAGAAAAATGCTAAAGGAGAAGTCGCCAGACACAAAGCAAGATTGGTGGCAAAAGGATACAGTCAGAGACCAGGCATTGACT